TACGTGAAGCGGCTCCAGAAGAACCTGGATCACCCCAGCGTGGAGACGTTCGTGCGCATGTTGACGGCCGCGAACGATCGCGAGGAGATCATCGCCTGTGCCGGACGCTATGTGTGCTTGACCTGCGCCGAGCGACGCATGGCATCCCAATCGCTGAAGACTGCGCCGACGACCTGGAAGAAGTTTAACGAGGCGCTCTACCTAGACTTGTTCGAGTTCAAGCTGCGCGTGGGCGCGGCGAAGATCGCTCACATGCTGGACGGAGCGTGCCGTTTCCAGAAGGGCATCGTGGCACGACAGACGACGGGAGAGGCGATCAAGTCCATCGAGAAGTCCTGGATCCGACACTACGGCACGCCCAAGAGGCTCGTCATGGACGAGCGTGGAGCAGCATGCACTCAGGAGATGTTCGACTGGGCCAACAAACACAACATCGAGATGAAGATAGCCCCGGGCGAGGCACGCCATGTGCTCGGACCCATCGAGCGCGCCCATCAGGTACTACGAGAGACGCTGGAGCTCTGGTTCGAGGAGACCGGCGTCGAGCGCAACATCGAGAAGCTGAAGACGGCACTGGACTACGTGCCATCCCAGATCAACCGAATGACCCACAACAAGGGCTATAGTCCGTCGCAATGGGTCTTGGGCCACAACCCGGAGCTCAATGACTCATTGTCCGCCGACTCGCTGCACATGCCGGCGTCGGAGGCTTACCTGGAGGACGATGATTTCCAGCGGGTGATGCAGCATCGCGCTGCAGCGGCCACCGCCTTCATCAAGGCGGACACGGCGGAGCGCCTACGCAGGGCCTTCCTGCGCAAGCGGCGAGACACGCACGACTCGGTCAGTGTCGACGATCTGTGCTACTACTGGCGTGACCGAGGAGCGAGCCGACTCCAGAAGTCTCGCTGGAGGGACCCAGCTACGGTGGCTCTACGCGAGGATGGAGAGAACGACCAGCCCAAGGTGTATTGGATCACACACGGCGGAAGCTTACTATGGTGCAGCCCCGACCAGATCCGCCCGAGCGTGGAGACCATCGGCGAGCCCAGGAGGACCGAGAACTTGCAGCGAGCTCAAAGTTCCCGACAGGGCCTACGACGTGGTGGCTCGTGTAGTTCTTCGACGTCAGCCAGCTCCCAGGGCCGAAGGCGGACGACTACGACGAGCCCATGGACCCCTCTCAGGAGCCCGAGCAGGCCCCTGGAGGCGGGACAGTCGCGCCTACCCCCCAGGCAAGCCACGGGGGATCAAATGCGCCAGGTGTCGGGGACGCAGAGCTCGGAGCCGCAAGCCGAGCCTGAGCACCAAGAGACGGCCACCGCGGCCGACGCGGCGATTCCTGCAGCTGAGGATCCCGACATGGACCCGACAGACGCACCAGAGGCGCAACAGTCACCTGCGGCGCAGGTCGAGACCAGCACTGATGTGGTCGGCGACTCAGCGGCACGGTTCAGAGAGGCGCGCCGAGTGCAGGACGCTGCTGAGATGGGCCCGCTTAGGACCTTCTCGGCACGGCGCCAGCATAGGGCAGGACCCTACGACAGGCACGAGATTACTACGGAGGAGGTTACTTTCGTGGACCTCGCTGCGATGCCCGACGGATGGAGCTTCGACGCGGAGCAGCGGGAGCTCTACATGGACTACGAGATGTGCTGCGCGGCCAGCGAGCTGAGCGAGAAGCGCATGACGGCTGAGGACAAGGCGAAGTTCGCCGAGGCGAAGCGCAAGGAACTACAGAGCTTCTTCGACAACCAGGTCTGGGAGCAGGACGTGACCAAGGCCAAAGATCCCAACGAGGTGTTGAGGGCGCCGTTCTTGCTCAAGTGGTCGAAGAACACCGACGGAAGCTACCGGGCCAAGGTACGGCTGGTGATCCAAGGTTTCCGAGACCCAGATGCTCTGGCAGGGAAGCTGGCCAAATCCTCATCGACAATGGCGAGATTGAGCAGGACCTTCATCGTGCTGGTTAGCCACATGTACGACTGGACGCTGTTCACTGCCGACGTGAGCAGCGCATTTCTGCAGGGCAAGCCATCGGCTCGTGGCATATCGATGCTTCTGCCAGCGGAGGCGTGCAGGATGCTGGGCGATGTGCCGGGCACAAAGATGAAGCTACTCAAGAGCACGTGCGGCCTGAGCGACGCTCCTAGGTTGTGGTGGGAGGAGGCGACCGATCGCATGATCAGCTGCGGCTACGTCGTGCATCCCCTCGACCCCTGCCTTTTCATGAGCTATCGCATTCAGGATGAAAAGGCAGACAAGCAGTTCGACTGAGCTATCGGGCTGCACGTCGACGACATGCTCGGAGGTGGCAGCAACGCGGCAGGGCAGCAACGCGGCAGGGCAGGCTTGCTTTGTGTCGCGGGACCAGGAGCTCAAGAAATTTTTCAATTTCAGTACGTGGGGGGATACGGAGAATGGTACTCTCAGCTTGAAATCAGATGGCGCTATGGACTTCTGTGGCAACCAGCTCAGGCGACGACCGAACGGAGACTACCAAGTGAGCTGTGGAGCCGACGTCAAGACGCTGAAGCCCATCACGATCACGAATAACCGAGCGACTGACCACAAGTTGGCCATCACCGAAGGCGAGCGACGGCAAGTGCGAGGACTCATGGGTAGCCTGGCGTGGCCCAGCAACCAGTCGGCACCGCATCTGCAGTGCAGCGTCAGCCTCGGCCAGAGTACGATCAACGAGAACGCCATCGTGCAAGACCTCGTGGAGGCCAACAAGACGCTCTGGTTCGCGAAGGCCAACAGCGACGCGTGCAAGCTCTTCCCCAAGATATTCGACGACCCCGAAAAGGTGGCGTTCGTGTGTATGACGGACGCGGCGTGGGCGGTCTGGAGGGACGGCAGCTCGCAAGGCGGCTACCTAATCCTGGCAGCGCACAAGGACGTGCTCAACGACAAGACCGTCGAGTACGTGGTGGTGGACTGGCGCTCACGGAAGCTTCCGAGGGTCAGCAGGTCCTCGTTGGCAAATGAAGCGCAAGCTGCTGCAAGCGAGGTGGACGCGCTGGAGTATGTGAAGGTGCACCACAGCCTGATGCTCGACCCGAGCCGGGACCTGAGGCTCAACGGCACCATGCAGGTGCTGGGCCAGAGCGCGCTCGTGGTGGACGCCGAGGCTCTCTACGACGCCGCGAAGAAGCCCCACGTGTGCAACTTCGATGGCAAGAGGACGGGCATCGAGGTGCAGGTGCTGAAGGAGCGTATGACGGCGAGTGCCACAGGCTGGTACTGGGTCAGCTCGGAGCGACAGTTCGCAGATGGTTTTGCGAAGTTGGCGGCTCGACAGCTACTGGCAGATCGACTTAGGACTGGAACAATAAGCCTGACATTCGACGATAAGTTCCAGGCAGCCAAGAAGAAGACGGCTAAGGACCGACAGGCTGAGCCCCAGCGATTCGCAACTTCGAGACCGAGCCAGACAGCAGCAGCAGCAGCAGCAACAGCAGCAGCAGCAGCAGCCCTGGCAGTGTTTACCGAGACGGCCAAGGCCAGCGAGGTGGCAGCCTACACGGTGAAGGAGGACATCGGCATGGTGAGTTTCGTGTGTCAGGACAGCCCGAAGATTGTGACCAGTATGCCACTCTGGACGGTGATGGAGATGATGATGGCATTCTCTGTGGTGATCGTGTTCGCGGTTGGAGCGTGCTGGAGCAAGTGCCGTGACAAGGCACAGGAGGTGTAGAATAATCCAGGACCTCTCCCTGACACGACGGCCAAGACCAAAAAAAACAAGAAGAAGAAGAAGAAAACGACGAAGACCTACTGCGACGCGGGTGTGATGGGCCCGGTCACATTCACTGGAGTTGGACAGCCAAGCGGAGGGAGATACTACCACCAGACCCAGGGCTTCGTGCGGGCCTACGAGGTGACCAACGAGTACTGGAGGGACGGTCGTCCCCACGGTGATTGAGGCACCCTCTTGCTTTTGTCACAACCCTTTCTGCATACTCCTTCCTCTCGTTTTTCCCTTCCCCCCCTCGTAAGCAGAGGCGATGCATACAACGGCTTCTGGTCACATCCACAGCCGCTCTAGAGCAAGACAGGACATTGTGTTGCTTGAGGTTTTCCCGGTGCTGAGGTGAACGTGCATAGCGAAGTTTCGTTTCCTCTTTCACCAGTGTGAATTATACTCCATATAACGGAGTTTCGAAGGATTTCGGAGGCTTCTGACATAATATTGTTGGATTCCCCCTCCCCCGCCCGCACAGCAGGCAGCATGATAGCATCAAGAGGAGAGAGACGGACGATCCGTAACTGTTTAGCTCGAGAGGCCTCTCGCGCAGTCAAAAGGGTTCCGCTTCCCTCACCCCGGCAGGCAGAGCCATAGTTGGGAAGAAGGGCGAGGAGAAGTGGTGCAAGAGGTTTGACACTTCGATTCGATACGGTCGATGACCTAGAGAGCTTCGATACTGATTGGCACCCCCTCCTGGTCGTCGTCGGTGTCTTTCGGGGTCGGCGGTACCGGCCGCCAGGCCTTCGCAATACATCCCCTCTGCGGTTGTTCGGACACGATGAGCAGGATGATAATGGGGGGGAGGGAAACACATAGCAACCTCCACTCGTTCAGCAATCTCTCCCGTGGAGACTTCCTCTCCCATAAACTTGCCACTCACGCGTTCATCCAGACCTGTTACCCCTCGGACCACTTCTGGAATTCCCCCAGCATTAACTCCTGGAGAACAATCCAATATGAATTGGCAGGCGAGTGGTCGCATGTGTAGCTCAAGGTGCACACGATTGTTGTTGAACAAATGTGACATGAAACATGCTGGGCGGCAAAGCGTAACTGATCTGGCGGTATGTAATACTGAATCCGTCGCTGTCGTCGCCCTTTCTTGGTGCGCGCGATGAGCGACATGAATGCGCATGCAAAGTTGAGTCTGACGTCGCTGGCATCGCTCACGAGCCTCTCAGACCTGGACGATCCTGCTCACAGCTCACAGCCCCTGCTGTGCTGGACGCGGGAAGCAAAACTGTGGGCATCAATTCGTCAAGAAGTCAACGTTGCAGCTGCCTGGGTGAGCCTCCTCAACCGCCACTCTGCGTCGGCAGCGTCGCTGACGACCCGATCCAACATTACGGCCAGAGAATCCTTCTCGCTGTCTTCCAATTGCAAGATCACCCGGTGACTGAGGACCGCGATGCGATCCTGCTTTGCATGCAGCTCCGACAGCGAAACCTGCTCGAGGACGCGCGCGGGGCCAAAACCATATCTGCCCCACCCCCATCATGAGCCCGCCCGACATCATGAAACAGAAGCGTTAGCTGTGTAGCAAGGCTCGACCTGACGGTGTTGTCCGTTTTCGCTATGTCGTATGTTTCCCAATGTTTGTCTTCGAAACGAACTGCACAAAGCAGAAAATCGCCCAACAAGAATTTAGAAAATCTCTGCTGTGGGCGTTGCGCTGATCTGTTCAGCTCCGCGCCGCCGGCATCGGGCAACCAGTGCCGCCCGGCGACGGAGAGGGAGGGAGGAAAGGAGGCGTTTGCTTCCTGTCTGTGTGTCGTGTTGGCGCCAACTTGCTGCGCAGGGACCGTATCCAGCCTCATCTCTCCCGCCCCCCCCCCCCATTCCTTACCCTTTGCCCATCCTCGTCCCTTCTGTAGTCTGGCGGCTGCCTCCCGCTTCCTGCCTCCTGCCTCCTCCTCCTCCGCCTCCTCTTCCTCCTCCTCCTGCTCACCATGCTCCCAACACTGGCCATGCGAGCAAGGGTTTTTTGGAAACAGGTCCTTGGACACAGGGGCGATCCAGAATTCCATCCTGAGTTGTTTTTTCGACAGCCTCGGGGCTCCGAAAAAAAGCAAATCAACCCGACAACATCGAAACTCCTCCGGGACCTCCTTCTCTCACGAGAAGCCGATGCTCCACGCCACCACCAGTACCATAGGTAGGACGGGGGAGAATGGAGGATGGGGAGGTCCTCCCACCGTGGCAGAATCTGTAAGCTTCACGCCCCAACGCCCTTCGCTCGCCCTCCGCAAGGCCTAGCTTCTGGAAGTCCGCCGCCCCCTCGACCATGTCGATGACCATGCCGAGGGCCTTCTGCGTCTTGATGGACAACAACATCTTCGCAAGTGGCCCCGGAACACCGTCGGAACTGATCTCACCATTCTCGCCACCGGTACCAATCGGTAGTACGTCCCTGAACTTCGCCTCCTTGCGCGCTCCACCGCCGAACCGATGCATCACCTTGTACGCGTGCGATTCAACGCGCAAGCCGTGCCTCTCGTTCAGCTTCGCCGAGTGCCATTCTAGCCACTCGTGGCCGCGCATGGTACTCGTGCACATAGCATCCAAGCGCGCGATCTCGATCGTCGTCGTCGCACTCGATCTGGTCGTCCGCGACGTCGACCACCGCCGCGAACTCCTCGTGGTCGTAGTCATCAGACTCCTTGATGGGCATCAGACGCCTTTCGATCTCTCCGTGGTAGCACTTCTTGCTGGTCGGGAAGTATATCTCCGCCGTCCGCGCCCTGCATTCGCACTTCCAAACGATGGCATACTGATTCCGACCACCTTGCACAATTCAGCCGTCGGGACACACCCTGCACCGTGTGGGGGCGCGTGGCGGCCACTTCTGCTTGATGAGCCACAGCCCGGACTGCCCCTCGGTCACGTCACGCTTGCCGCCGGCCTTCGGCGTCACTAGTGCCTGGCGGTCGCCGTGGACCGAAATTCACACCCCTCTGGCTCGAATGAAGGTAGTGGCTCCTCCCTCGCTCGTCGACCGCGCTCTTGCGCCGTGAGACTCACGGCCGCTCGCCCCGCTCGATGACGCCGCCGCTGCCGAGCCAGGGCTGCGCCGACAGTCCCTAGCGCGGGCTTCCCTTCCAGTGCGCGCGCCAAAACCTTCGCGCGCACAGTCGCTCGCGCAACGGGGTTTGCCACGCCCTTTCAACAGCTCCGCGCCAACCTGCCGGCTACTCATCTCCCAGGGCGCCTCGACGTTGGCCGCGCCCTTGCCGTTCCGCGCAGTTCTTCGTCGGGCTCGGCCTCGGGAAAACTGGCGCAACTGCTGCCGCTGCTGACCGTGGGCTCGCTCCTGGCACAGCCGGCGACGTCTGGTCGTCGACCGTCCAGGAGTGCTTCGGCGACGTCGTGCGCTTCGTATCGTTATCCTTTTCCGTGCTGGCCACATTATACGCCCCCTCGGCGTCCTCGTCCACGTCGTCCATCACAGCGAGGAAGCTCTTCTGGATCCTCTCACTCCCGCGGCCTCGACTCTTGCCACCGCCACTCTTTCCACCGCGTGGTTGGGCACGACCTCGATGTCCACGAGGCGGGAGTGGTCGCTCCCATTCGGCACGCCCTGGACCCCCTGCCCAGTAACCGAGCGCGCCGCACACTCTGCATTTCGTCTTCTTCTTGGACTCCTCGATCCGCTTCTTCCAGTCCTCCGATGTCTCGTCCTTGCCATTGATCAGCTTCCCTGGACGCGTGAACCCGCGGGCCTGGTCCTTCAGCTCGCGCAGGTCCCGCTGGGCGACGAACGCAACCTGCTCGGCCGCGAGGCACTCGCTGAGCGTCGCAAACTGCTCTGCCGCAAACTCATCGCCCACCTCTAATATTCCTTGGAGTTCGTTCAGCTCGTCCTCTAGTAAGCGCCGTCGTCTCCGTGGTCATCGTCTGATTACGTCGCTCTGCGAGGTAGGCGCGCCTCTTCTCATGGTTGCCTTCACGCCGATCATGTCGCGCCTTGCCTTCAGACTTGCGTAGGTCCGCGAACTGGACTCCGATCGCCTTCGTCGGTCGCTTCGGGTCGTAGACGCTGCCGCAGCTGACCAAAACCTGGGAGCGCTGAGCCTTGGACAGACCCCTAAGCATCAGCAGGAAATAAGCCTCGATACTGTCACTCAGCTTGGTAGACCTGTCCGCACCCAGCAACTGCTGCCGAATTTCGTTGCCCTTTTGTCAGCCACGAGCCCGCCGACTCCGCGCTGCGCCAACTCGAGCTGTCGAAATACTTGTCGAACATCTCGCCCACTCGGTTCGGACCGATGCCCTGGATCGCCTCCTTCAGTGCCGTCACGAGTGCTTCAATCCGCGAGTCTGTACCCAGGTCGTCCTTGGCGATATTGTCTGCCTTGGCCGCAGTGTAGGCTTCTCCTCGCAGTGCATTGTACAGCCTCGGGCCCAGCGGCCCCGTCTTCTTGGCGACCTCGTCCGCATGGCCGACCCTCAGCGTCTGGACGCGGTCCAAATACTCCTCCAGTATCTCCGGCGCACCATCGTGCACTGGAGCCCCGGGCTGGAAGGTCAGCGTCGGCGGCATGGTTCCGACGGCGATACACTGAGATACGAGCTCCTTCCGCAGTGTGGTCTGAGCCGTTAGGCTAAGCCAGAGCCGCGCCGTGGTAGCGGTGCCGTGGATCGCCGCTCCGCACACACCAATGTGAAATTCACTCCTCTGGGCCACCGCCGATGTGATGAGCGTCCCCAGCACCCAGCAGCAGCAACAGGAGATGGGATGGCAACCTCGCGCTCTTTCAGCGAAAATGCGAGACCAGTCGCACAGTAGCATGCTCAAAGGGGGCCCCCCTGTGGGCACACGTGCCGAATCGGCGGCGGCACGCACGCACGGGGTCGGGGGCCACGCGCGGATGCTAATTCACAAACTGGATTGATTACATGTTGGCCTTTGCGGGGGTGGGCCCTAATTAAGGACCCCTCCTCCTTTGATCGATCCCCTCCAAGATGGCCCCAAGACCGTCCCCGAGCCTTCCAAGTGTGCCCCAAGACACCCACAAAAGGTGACCAGGAGGCCCCCAAAGGCTCCCTAGCTGCCAAGAGACCCCTACGAGGCCACACGAGGCTCCCCGGAGGCACCCAAGACGCTCCAAGAGGCCCCACGCACTGCCAAGAGATCCGCAAGACACCCAAAGAGAGCCCTAAGAGGTGCCCAGGAGACCCCAAGAGGCCCCCGAGAGACCCTCAAGAGGCTCCCAAGAGATCGTCAAGAGCCCCCCCCGATGCACCATAGACGCCCCAAGAGGCCTCGGCGAGAATACCCAACCCAATAATGTTACCAAGGTTTTGGCCACATGTCGGCCTCCTCGGGGGGGGAGGACCTAATGTACTACGGTCTCTCCTTGGATCCCTCTCCTCCAAGATGGCCCCAATATGGCCCCCGAGATTCCCAAGGGTGCCCCAAGATAGCCCTAAGAGGTGCCCAGAATGCCCCAAGAGGCCCCCAAGAGGCCCCCAAGAGGCCCCCAAGTGGCCCCAAGAGGCTCCCTGGCTGCTTTTAACACGCCCCAAGAAGCCTCGGCGATCATACCACAATTGATGATTTGACCAGGGTATTGGCCACATGTTGGCCTCCTTGGGGGGGAGGCCCTAATTAAGGACCCCCCCTCCTTTGATCGATCTCCTCCAAGATGGCGCCCGAGGCCCGAGGCTTCCAAAGGTGCGCCAAGGCAGCCCTAAGGTGCTCAGGAGGCCCCAAGAGGCCCCCAAGAGGCCCCCAAGAGGCCCCCAAGAGGCTCCCAAGAGACCCTCTAGATGCAACCAAGACGCCCCAAGAGGCCTCGGCGATAAT